CCTCTCTAAATTTCGTTCAGTCATCGCTTCGCTTGGGATAAATTCATACATAGAAAAGTACATAAATAAACCATATTATGTTATACACAAAATAATTCGGTACTATACTCAAGTTTTATAAAATTCATTTGTACATTGAGGAAGAGATATGCAAAAATTCTTTTTTTTAATTTATGAAATATAATAATTTCAAAACTCAGAACAAAATTATATTCAACGGTCAAACTAGGTTGGAGTAAAACGTGTTTAACATAATTATTGAAGCTGTCACACTTCCAATTCGACGATCTATTGTTTAAGTAATAAACATTACATAATGTGTCACGTCATTCGCGTCATTAAATTATTGTAAATTTAATGTATTATTATCATTAGATGTTAAGTGGTATGTAATTTATCGGTAATTATAAGAACATTATTTGTTAAATGCTTCCCATAATATTTTATCTGCCTGGCAATGCAAGATTTTATTATTTGTGTAAGCGAGAAGCAGGTCAGGAGGGATCAGCGAAGTCCCCCATAATAATTATTTTATTCGAATTGATCGACAAGCATAAACATCTTTGGTCGTATACTTGAGGGAAAATTGCCGGAAGAAAAATATAATTGATATTTCTTTCCACGACAAATGAATGCTACCAATACCAATTTTCTCTACGATATTTGAAAAAAATATAACGATCAGTACTCACTGCAGTGAGTGGCAGAGAGCGCATTCTCTCGTCGACGAAAACTTGAAGTCACGGACGGACAGATGGACGGACGGACGGTCAGACGGACGGACGGACGGACGGATTTGGCGAGCACAATAGTGCATTTGTTCCATAAATGAGGAAATGCGCTAAAAAGAACTCCCTGACACATCAAAAATATTTTATTGTAACTTTAATTTTTCAGGATGGATTTTCAGTTGGCTCCGGTTTATCAAACCAAACAGGGTTCGTTCCCAGTGACGTGCTGGTCCGATCACACAAATATCTTCTTAATGAACAAGATGATGTGAGTAATAAAGATTGCCTCACACAATCGGACAAAATAAAGAGAATAAAGTCAGCTGACATTTATTCAGATTGATTCAACGTGCAACTGGCGTTGATCGGGCCAGTTGAATGAGGAAGCCGAATTTAATAATTCATATGCTGTTGTATAGAAATCTTTGAAGAACGGGCGGTTCAATGAAGTGATATTGAAAGTAGAATTTCAAGTTCCCCAATGGTGTTGCCCAGACGAGTCCCAGATCGTGAAATGAAAATTAAATCACTTACTAAACAATTAATTGATCAGAAACTAGCTATGTAGCAGACAATTCCAAATTATGAATCAACCAATAATCAACTAATAACTAAATTGACAAACCTAAGATTTTGGTGCATCTTAGTGCTTAATGCTTTCAGTAAGAGGCAAATTAGAAATACAGACGAAATCAGTTAAAGGAAGGTACTCTAGACGGAAAAATAGGAAAGGACTGTTTGAGATTCTGACTTTGGAAATTTGAAGATAAAGTTATTAAATTGTGGGTCACAGCAAAGGAAACTAGTCCCTCTACCAATATCAGAGACCACGCAGCTAATTTGAAATTTGAGATATTAAGGATTGAATTGAATATTGATTTGTCTAGAGTACCATAGAAAAAAATTTTACATTGAGCGTAAATAATTAATATGAAAAAAAGCAACATTCACACCAACAATAAGATAGTGAAACAGTAATCAGGAAGATTTTTAGAAACTGAAGGTCCTGTTGCTGTGCTGGATGAAGTGATGGTAGTTCCAGAAATGAATAACTGAGAACTAGCTGAGTTTGAGTTAAGGCACGTTGCGAGATTGAACGTCTGAATGGTATAGATGCTTATGAAGGAGTCTCTAACCTAGCGGATACTGCTACCTACTTAAACTACGTAACTAAACTGAATACAATAAAACTGCGAACGCAACATGAACAGAAAACGACAAATTTACAAATGATTACAAAAATTATTAATGGTGGGAAAAATTTCCCACAATGAAGCTTGATATGTTCGGGTTCTCTGAGATTTTGCCCAAATGAGAGGCTATAGTCCGACTGGCGGGTGGCCAGATAAACCTTAATCTGCCGAATCAGTATTCTGCGCACCACATCAACTTTCCTCTCGCTTTGTGGCAAACCCGGAAGTTTGATACAAAATTAGACCCAGCGGATTTTTTCAATTTCTTCATCACAAGGACTTCTTGCGACGTCCACTATAATATTTTGCACTGCTCTACCGTAGAAAAACGAGGTAAAAATGTACTCGTCATCACATGTTTTCAATCATTTTGTAATTAAAAAAATATTAAAAAAAATATATTTCACTGTTACAAAATTTCCGAAGGAGTTGTTAAATACTCCCGTTTTCGGAAAGATTGCTCAAACGAAAGAAAAATATGACTTGTCCCGTTGACAAAACACAGCAACCCTTGTTTGGGATTAGCAGGTTTTTCCTTGGGGTATTCTTTTAAAAACAGAGCTCAACTTTGAAAACAATTACTTGTCAATTCCTTTCATTAAAATAAGCGATATCATTGGTACTCCTGCACAAAAGAGAAAGTATATGTTGGAATTACAGAATGCTGTGGCGTTGTTTCCCAGTAGGCGTATATTTTGTTAGCGGCTCGTCATGAAACTTTTTAGACCTGTGTGACTGCTCGTCAATTTTGAAACAATTTTAGCTGCAGATGTCACCATTGAACGCAATAGTTCAGTTAACTCCATTATGTATTAATGCTGCGTGGTTCGATTCCTATATCGAACCACCGTGCACCGTGCTGCAGTGGTTCGAGTCCTATCTCAGCAATAGATTCCAATTCATTCGACGCGGGAACTCTGCTTCTACGCCATCGTTGGTCACTTGCAGCGTACCACAGTAATCAGTTTTCGGCCCGATACTCTTCCTGCTACATACTGTCGACATATTGCACATGATCGATTCACATAGTTTGAATCCGCATATGTTCGCCAACGACACCCAAATTTATGGTTACTGTGTGCCGACTGACTCTGCAGCGCCACAAGACCGAATGTCTGTCTGCATGGACGCCGTCTCAGACTGGATGCGCTTCAACCGGCTCCAGCTCAATGCATCAAAAACTGACTTTATTTGGTTTGCGACTGTTCGACGCCAGCATCAGCTTCCGGCCAACCCTGTTTCAATGGGCCCATTTTGACACTTTTTACAAACTAGTGTTTCATTAAAAATTGAATAACTCTATAGGCGCCTAATTCACATCATACATTCCTCATTAGTTGCACCTTTAAAAAAAAAACAAAGAACCACCTCGTATTAATTAAAACTTAATCAAAATTTTAGTTTAAAAAAAGGGGGGGGGGCGCTGCCCCATGTTGCCCTATCTGGTATGAGGTATATTTCTGGCATACTCTGCGAGAAAGAGTTGGCAGCGCTAGCCAGCAAGGCATGGCATTGGTTACCAATCTCACGAAGCTTTGTAATTAGCTTACAATTTATCCTGAAAAAATGTATCGTGCTTCTACAAGCGATGATTTTCAGATATGCGACCAGATTGCAGTCATTTCAACATCTTGAAGTTACGAGCACTTGAAGCTTTGTTCCCTAATTAATATCTTCTTATAATATAACACAATTGATAAATCAACACTTATTCGTCATAATTTCTGAAATAAATTAACAGGGAGAGTGCCGAAAAATCTCAACAAAATGTGCTCGAAATGATAAAATGATTACAAATTTTTGCGCCGAAGAGAGATGAAAAATAAATGAGAAAACGTTCCAAAATGCGATGATATGACCTAAAACTTAACAAATACACGTACTAAGGCAAGCATTAATTTTCAATTAATGTCAAAATGAGGAAAAAACAATTCATCATATAGCATAACATACAAGCAGAGACACATTAACCTTGTAATGTGAAACTGCAGGAACAATCAAACCTGCTGAATTGCCCTCTTTTACATTACTGTACAGAAAATTGTCAATTTGTACAGTACAAATAATTCTGAGAATATATTCAATTTTTAGGCGTTAAAAACTATAATTGTACTAACTATATAGTTAGTATTACATAAAAATAAACTGTTCGTTTTTAAACATCTTTTTTGAGAAGCAGCACTGATGATTCTACTGAAACCAAGTAGGAGCGGCTCAGTTCTGACAAATTAACTCGCAAAAATCTGTGTGATCTACTAGACGTATTTTTTGTACAATATAAATTTCTTTACTATTGCAGCAAACAATAGCACATTGTTGTATGGGTCAAACGCGCTCTTGATCAATGCAATGAAGAGTAAATAGCTTCAATAGTTATAAATCGTACTGACGATGGCAAATTGACTGGTCTTCTCGAAACAAAAGAGCATCGAGTTTTGAACGGCTTCTTTCAATATTGTGATACAAATCAATATTTAAAATTGAATATTTTCATGCAGATGCCTAATAAAATGAAGTTCAGTGAACAGAAAAAAAGTTTTAAACTTCTACAGAACAATGAATTAGAGGCAGAAGCCAACAATTCTTTATAGGTACAAATTCGACTATAGAAATTTTGTTCTTTTTACTAATTTTTAAGAATTTTACGATCACTTTATAATGCATGCCTGATTTAATATTCTAATTTCCAAACATCAACAATAATTAAGAAACGTTTGTTTATGTTTAAGTGGATAATCTTAAACATTGCTCCTAAGATAGAAGCATTTGTATTTTTTCATTTTTTATAACGGGTTTTTCTGAGATGCGTAAAACCAAGTTTCATATTATATGAAAAGCATGACTTAATTCTTCATTGAATTATAACTCCTTTTGTTTGATTATTTTTACATGTTATTATTCTTAATTATGTGTTAATTGCTCTACACATAACATTTACACGACAGGAATGTGGACACATCGAGTGACGATCAAAATAACGTCAACACTGAGTACAGTTTTCGGGAGAGGCACACGAATAATGTTCACCTACGACTAAACCAGTCGAAATAATAACAAAAAAATTATCTATGTCTTAACTACATTGTGATCTTATCATTACCGTTCATGGAAGAAATCTCAAAGTTCTCGGTCTTGATGTTAGCGTAAGCCCTTGTCGACGACTGAAAGTTATATTGTGAGAGGGAAGGAATGTGGGCTTCGTCGAGACGAATACAAATAAATACATGCCTATTAAAATGCTTGCGGAATGTACCACTGATCCAATACAAGGCAATTGGATTAATGCAGGAGTTGAAGAACGCCAGGCAAAAGCCAATGATGCGCATGCAGTTCCAGATGTAGTTGAAGTCGTCGAGTGCCGTTGGGTGGAAGTAGAACCACATCATGAAGACGTTGTTAGGGAAGAAACACACGGCAAAAATTAGCACGAATGCCAGGACCATCTTTGCGACTTTACGACGCGATGCCGCTTGCCGCTGATGAGTGGTACGCTGCTGGGGCAGACATTCCCCTGGTATGTCCTGCGTCATCAAGTGTCGAGCCATCAGGACGTAATAAGTACTGATGATCATCAGCGGAATGAAGTAGTAGATGAGAAATTTGAATAGGACGTTAAATTTGGGGTAGAAAGTACCCAAATATTCCGGGAACGGGAAGCAAGCGACTAAATTTTCAGAATTAGACTTGGGGAAAGTTCGTAGGTCTGTGAAAACGGCTGCTGGTATTGAGAGTAGCAGTGAAAAAATCCAAATACAGGCCGTGACTATGAGCGTGTGCTTCATCCCATCATTTCGCTGGTTGAAAGTGTGAACTATCGCGTAATAACGATTGACGCTCAGCGCAGTCAGTGTGAAAACCGTAACTCCAATAGAAATATCTTTCATGGTTTCTTGCATCTTGCACACTATCTCACCAAATGGGTAGTCTTCTAACGTGAACACAATAGACACAAACGGGACAGCAAACAAGAGAACAAGAATATCTCCGAAGGCTAGCGATAAGATGTATGTGTTGGGCACGCTCCGCATTTGGGGATATTTAAAAAAGAAATAAACTAGAGCGCCGTTCCCGATGACGCCAACTAAAAATATCAGTGCAAAAAGTATCGGTACCAAGAAGCGTTCTGATCGATCAGCCATCGGAATGTAAGGCAAGGATTCATTTTGGGTGACATTCGTCGCGAGATTCAAATCATCCGACGGACTGAAATCCCCGCTGAAAGTCATTCCGAAGGGCTCTTCAATTGTGACGTTCAGCGCCATTTCTAAGACGCTCTTCTTTTTTCCAGCGTGCCGTCAATATGAAGCTGAACGCAGCGGCGCAGAATGTGTGCTTGACTTCTCTGTTGCCGTGCCGCTGGATGCTTAAACCTGCGGACCAAAAATAGTAAGTCATTTCAAGCCTGGAATTTCTTACAGTGTAAGCCTGGAATTTCATATCAAGCCTAAAATTTCTTGCAATGTAAAGTGTTAAACTTTCTCTGAGAAGCCACATTTGATATTAATGTTTTATTATGAAGTTCAATTTATACTAAAGAATAAATAAACTTTCTCTAAGGCTGAGAACGACTTTCAGCTGCTGCGCATATGGGTGAGGAAATTCAATAAATTATTTCAATACCTTCGAACTTTCCTCACCAAACTTGACGAACAAAAAATATTTTCAAGGGCGTTCTTTTCCTTCTGTTCAAGATTTTATTTTGAATTTTATTCTTTTCAAATTCAGACGAGGAGCAACTCTGGGAATATTCCAGGGGAATAAATCACATTAAATCTACAAAAAAAAAATAACTTCCATTATTCAACTAATCTGTCTCATACTTTCATTATTGCCCGCCCAACGCATGCCACCTGAGCCACAGAGCAATAATAATTGCGTCACATTTTTTAAAACTGCTCTGCAACAAATATGGTAAGAAGTTGCAACGATTTGTTAGTTTTTTTAACTTTATAATAGAAACTCGTGTTGACAGTAAGGTATTTATTTTTCGTGACTGCTTATATTTATATTAATTGTAAACCTTCAGAAAATACAAGTGCAGTCCATTACCATATGTTCTGTCTGTCCGTGACTTCACGTTTTCGTCGACGAGAAAATGCGCTCTCTGTCACTCACTGCAGTGAGTACTTAGTTATATTTTTTATTATTAATATTATTATTCTATTATTATTGTTATCAACGCCATTATTATTAGGATGAAACAAATCTAGTATTGGCTACCAGCAGTATGCGGGCTGAAGGCTTGACTGTGATGCTAACAAGACACTCGACAGCGAGTCTGTCTCTAATGGCCTTGTTATCAAGTGCCCTTGACAGCCCAGCCCAATAATACCAGCACTTCTAACCCAACCATCGGTAAACATTCGTGTTACTGAACTAAAGCAAGCTACACTCACTTCATTCCGGACCGCCATGCGCAGCCCGTATCGCACTTATTAGTGACCCTGATCAAGTAAAATGATGGGGTTTACAAGTTAGGTACGCAATATGTCAATATTTTGCTCGAATTTCTGAATAAAATGATAATTAACTGGATGAGTAAGCTTTCGTGTACTAAAACAACTGGCAAGATCTATATGGTATATAACAAATTACAAGCTTCCATTAGAAAAAATTATATTTTACTTCACTAAAAAAAACAAAGAAAGGAATGAACACTTCTTTAACATTGGGCCGGCAGATGTGTATACAGCCGATGAAACGCGATTGAAATTGCCGATTTCAAAACTGTTCAGTGTGCACTGTTGATACTACCGTATTATAACGCTCATACTTGTTGATACGATGTTGCATTAAATTCTCCTTCAAAAGGTAGCGTCATAACTTAAATCTTTCATATCCTTACATTATAGTCATGGGCAACGGCGAAAAATCTTTGATAGTAGAAATGTAAAAAGCAAATAAAAATTATGAGCTAATTTCATAAATTGAAAGAAAACAAATTATGAGCTAATCCATAAAATAAAATAAAATGAAATTATGAGCTATCTCAAAAATTTACTGCCAGTTGAACGTTCTTTAAAGTCTCTGAGAGAGAAACAAAATTCTCTGATCGCCGTTTAGTCGTAATGTAATCGCTGATTTTAATTGCGATGTTATAAAAAATATTTTCATCTCGCATTTTTCATCATCATTTTTAAAGATGAAAACGTAGGTGGAAACCTCAGCTGCCACTACACTTGAGGCCTGAATTATAGAATTCTCTGACTGTCCTTGTAGTATATGGGACTGTCCTTTTAGATGGGACTGTCCATGAACAGTGAACTTATATAGACACTCCATTCTATTACTGAATAATATGTTACTCAATTAATATTTTGCTGAAAATATGCTATAGTGATTGAAGTCTTTAATTTACTCTGCCATTAAAATCAAATGCTCTTTGATTGTCAGGAAGTGCAGTATATCTAGTACCCATTGTAGGGATATAGGATAGTATGTTTAGCCCATTTTAGGGCTATGGTCATAAAACACTGCACTGAACGTGAATATCCGGATATATTTGGTTCGAAGCTTATTTCCGATCAATTATCTAATAATTATAGGAAGAAAATGCAGCTCTGTAGCTATTTTTCGAAAATTAAAAATGTATACCTTACAAAAAATTCAGCTTTTCATGAAAAAATTAAACGCACCTAAATCAAATTTCAATGGTGAACAAAAATAAATAGGACGCATATAATTATGTTTGGTAAGCATTTCGACACATCAATTTCGAAGAAAAATCAACAAAATCAAACGATGATTGATTTTGCATCGATGCATTATATTTTTATTATAAATTTAATTTGACCAAGAACCTTATCAAAACGCAAGGTTTTGAGAAGAATGATTTTTCGACTTGGTCTTACTTCGTTCACTTGCTTCCTTATATTCACCGGCAAATCAGACGTGCTTCGATCGTTCATGAAACTTCACTTCAGCGATTAAAATCGACAGGCCTATTTCTGGCAATCACGTTACCTCAATTTTAAATCTTACGCGTCATCTTTGTTATCCTGAAGCCCTCCTTTGACGCAAGATGAGACTGCCGCCAGTTTGCCGGAGTTCGGAGACCTCGCTTGCCTGCCTTCAAGAAAATATAAGAAGTGTTGCGTCTAGAAGGGCTTGTCAACTCGTCGTTCTTTCCTAATGGTCGAGGACAAGTTTGCAGGGAGCTCCAGAGATTATTTTAAATATATATTACGATGCTCGTAAATCTGAACTTAAAATCCGTGGATGGTTGGCTGCTGTAATGTTTGTTGTCAGTATATGATGGGCAAGGGTTTATATATTATAATGGTTTTAAATAAGAATTGACTGGGGCTTTGGTCGGATCTGGATCCGATTGCATAAAACGTATCTTGATTGACGAAAAGAAAATTGCTACTGAATTATAAAGTTTGAAAAATGGAAATGAATCATTCTAAAAAAGATGAATAACTGAAGGCTGAAAACAAAATAAGATATTTATTTATAAAACTATAGACAGTTTTATTTCTTACGAAATGTCACATATAAATAAGAACGAGACGCTGTAAATTATAGTTTTCAAGTCTTCGATGCCAAATCGAAATTTATTCAGAATTAATTTACAATCTTACATTAAATTTTAATGAGGAGAGCTTTGAGATCTCAATTGTCTCTCACATGTGCAAAGTTCAGTTCTTTCTTAGCAAACTTGGAATCACTCTACATTTCTGTGCGAACTCGTATGCAAATAGACCGAGTCTCAATGTCCACCATTTTTGAGAAGACAAGTCTTTTCAGCAAAACCTGTCTCTTTAAAACTCTTGTGTGCTCGACTTTCTGAAAAAATTTACCTCTGTTGGTGTTTGGAGCACCAGTTCTTAAACACGAGTTTGGAACTGTAAGTTTAAAATGCGATCTTTGCAAGGAAATAAGTCATCGCATCACATGAAATGAAGTTATTGTTCTAAGAAATTTTTTCTAATCAAGGATGCCTTCTAAATTAATGAGACCTCATTCGTCAGACTGCATCAATGAAAACGATGGAAATTATCTCTTTAATTAAGCACCACGTAGCGCCGGCAATTAATTAATGAATATCGAGAAGAAAAACGTGAAGATCTTTTGGACTGAAAAATGCAAAAAATTGAAGCCTTCCGCTTCGGGTGCTGAACCTGCAGCATATGTTGCCTCTTAAAAAGCATAAGTAATAGTTCATAATAATTAATTTATCCTAAGCGTCCCTCATAGACTAAACGTAAAACACTGAGATCTAAACTTGCATAATCGGCATTCTCCGTTATTTGTTTTATTTCATTAGCACTTAATCAAATTTCAAAGATTTCATCAAGCTCTTAATTAAATTCAAAGTTTTTTGCAGTTTCCAGCCGCCAAAAATTTGCATGATGATCAGAAGCAGGCGCTCCCATTTCGCTCCTCCTTTTCATGAACTGCATCTGTTATCCCTCCGTCGATCAATAATGCATAATTTGGTTCTCATCTCCTGCAGTTTTGCGCCAAACTTTTCTTGATCCAAAGGAAAAACCCCCTACACAAGTTAGCATAATAGTGAAGAGTAGCCCAGCCACGCATCGTAATCAGCCTGTTGCTGAAATTACCCTCAGCAGCCACGCATTTACAGCGAGTTTGCCCTCGGCTTACCCTCGGGATAGAATAAGGCATGTATGCATCGGTCTGGTACTACTGATGAGGATAAAGACTAATATCATAGACCTTGTCGTTGGTCGCTTATCTTTGACAAGCCGTCAATTGAAAGTTTTATTTGTAGCGAGTTATCCCTAAAAGCTTTTATTCCGTTGTATACAATTTTTCTAGAATGAATCTCACCAAATATTATGAGAAAATACTATAAAAATGTTAATTAGATAATATGTGTTAATTAAATTTTAATCGTCACGTATTGGCATAAATTAAAAATTAACGATATAATGAAATTTAAGGAGCAAAGGTACTATATACCATACGTCACATATGATTTAACAATGTAAAAACAAAATTTCTTTCCAATATCGAAACTTATTTATGCAGCGATCTAGAGATTCTTTCAAAAATAAACATATCTTAACAATTCTCAATTAATTATGTTTGTCATTGAAAATTCAACAAGAGATGCATGAGAAATTGTTGAAATTAAGTACCGCCATATGCATGCGAGAAGACAACGTTGAGCACAGTTCCCTACCTTCCCTTCACAGTTCCCTACCTTCCCTTCCTTTCACTATTCCCTACCTTACCTTC